ACAGACCATCCTTTTCAGAGGGGGATCTGATATCTCTTCATACTCCCACTTTCCATGTTACAAAAGCAAGGACACATAGGGAGTACCAGAGCAGACAAGCCTTTTTGCTGTACTCTTCATTATGGATCACTTTCTGAGGGTACCAGGGCTCCCCATTGCACTTACATTTGTCCTGTTTAGTATTTACATTCTCATTTCAGAGCTGGGATTAGCTTGGCACTATCAAATCCTTAAAGCCCACCTGGAGAGGACTCACTGAGGACAGAGCAGCTAGCTTCTCAGCTGGTGCAAGCCAGTACATCTCCATTCAAATCAGAGAAGCTGAACCAGTTTGCAACAGCCAGGATCTGGCCCAAACATGTAAAGTGCATGCTGGGACTAGGAGATAGGCTCTGGATTGTAATGAGCCAGCGTGCAATAGCTGTGTATCACAGCGGAGGCAAGAGCCAGGTGGTGAAATTTCTTGGCTCAGGTACCAGGAGCTGATGTCTCTGACTTCTTGCTCCAGTGGGAATTTTCCTTACCAATTAATTAGTGATTGTTTTAAAAGGGACGCTCATGTCTTTCCAGAGGCAGCATTCCTGAGTGCTAACTTACTCTGTGAAATTGGCCGAACCAGATCATTTTAGTACTTCAGATTACTGGTGTGTAGCCTCAATTACTGGGTAAAACACTTTGAGCTTCTGCCTGAAGAAGTGGCCTTGTTCTTGTTCACTTGTGACAAAGGAGACTTGAAGTTTCAGTCCTGCTTTACGTGATTTCCCCATTACAAATACCATTCTCTCCAATGATAACCCCTCGGTGTTTTTAATAAAAGCCCCTTTCTCTCCTTTTCTTCCTCCCTTTCTCTCCCCCAAGGAGGCAATTCCCTCCCTCCCCTTCGGCTCCTAAGATCCCGTCATGGCAGATCCCAGTGAAGCCAAGCTCGCCCTCCAACCCTGCTGTTGCCAACCACAACAGCAGCAGCGACATCTCACCCGTCAGCAACGAGTCCACCACCTCCTCACCGGTCAAGGAGAACCACAGCCCGGAGGGTTCCAAGGTCAGCTGCCATCTGCTGAGCGCCGAGGAAGGCAACAAGGCGGTGATCGATGTCAAGAGCCAAGTGCGGATGGAGGTGCAAGGCGAGGAGGAGAAAAGGGAAAACAAAAGGAATGAAGAGGAGGAAGAGGATGATGAGGATGATGATGTGAGCCACGTGGATGAGGAGGAATGTCTGGGTGTCCAGACTGAGGACCGGAGAGGAGGGGATGGGCAGATTAATGAGCAAGTGGAAAAGCTACGAAGACCTGAGGGGGCCAGCAATGAGAACGAGATTGACTAAAGCACCCTGGCTTTTGCTGATGCTGCTGTACATCTTCCCTAGCCTCCTGCACTGTCCCCGGTGCCTCTCCCATTTTGTGGAGTGCCACCATCCCTTCCAGTGATTCTTCCATGATTGACCTTGAGTAGGGTCATGATTGCCCGGTGAATAAGGTGGGCCCTGTTTCACCACAAGGCTGTGCAGCGTTGCAGTGGCTTCTTCTCCCCTCCCAGACCTACCTTCTCCCCATGAGCTGGGGTCACTGCCTAGGCTGGAAGACCAGTCGCCTTACCATGCCCCACAACTACATAAGTCCCCTTACTAAAACTCTCAGCATCTCTCCTGAAGTGGTCAGCCTCTTTGCTGCATCCTAGAGTCCTTCCATTCAGTTTCAGAAACTTTTCTGTGCCGAGCTCTTTGATTTCACAAGTCTTTAATCCCCACATAATCCCCTAGGCAATTCTCACTGTTTCCCCAAATACCTGTTTTATTTCTCAAACTAATTGGTATTCTGTCACCAAAAAAGAACGGTTTAATCCTGAATTCCTCACCAGATCTCAGTCTCAGCCACCTTCTTCCAAGCCTTACGTCAAGTCTCAAATTCCTGAAACTACCTAGCATTTGAAAACACTAAATTTCTTGTGGGGTCCAAAGAACACTATTTCCACCCCACACACTCCCTTCCACTCTTCAAACTGGCCTCTTGCTTGGGACCAAGTCCAGGTTTCATGGCCACAGTAAAATGCATGAGAACAGGTGGCTTTGTTACTGATTGCTCCCCAGTAAAAGAAGGCTTTAAAAGATGACCCCACTCATCCCAATTACTACACTTCTTCCTCCAAAGAGAAGGAGCTCGCATCAGTTTTTGACATCTTACATTTTATTTATAGCTGCCCTGAATGAGATGATATCAGATGCTGAAATAATTGGTTAATTTTGAATTGTTGCAATGGTTCGTAGCTTGTTTTTCTCCTTAAATGAGGAGAAAACCTGTATTAAATGATCAGTTGAGACCTGCACCTACCCAGTGACAGGCACCTGCTTTAGCAAGGCAGTCTTTACAGAAGAGAAAACAATTCCAGCTCTGAGGTACACCGCTGGCCCTTCTTGCCCAGTCCAGCCTTTTTTTTTTGCCCCATTGGGGCTATATACAAATTAAAACAGTGAACTTTAAAACCTCTCATTTGCAGCATTGTGTTCTCGGCTGTTAAAATGGTGGTGTCCAATTATATTATTCACTGCATCAGAGCCTCTTAGCGGAGCAATTCTTGTAACAACTGAGTCTCACTGTCCTCACCAAGCAAGCGTGCTCGTCTGTGTGATCATGTATAGATTCCAAATATAAAATACGATTGTATATAATTGTAATAAATATGAGTTACCACTATTTAACACCAGGCTGTTACTGGATTACTGTGGCTCTTTTTTGAGGGGAGAAATATGGAGAAATAATTTGTGCAGGGTGGTAAAGGGAGGGAAAAGGGGAGGTTACAGAAATTCAGTCTGTATAAAATGTTTTCTGATGGATGTTTGTGGTTGGCTTGCTTTCTAGCTGCTCCAGTCCTAGGTTATGTCAGCAGGAGGCAGTGTAGAGAATGGTGGAAGTGCATTATAAAGTACAGCACAAATAGCTCCAACACCACCGTAATTCTAGGTTGCCTCCGTTGTTGCAGAGGGCGAGATGATGGATGGATCACTGGTGAGTAAAACGCAGCTCCTCTGGTCCCCGTCCTCCCAGCAGGAGGCTCTGCAGGGTGCAGAATGCGGCGCAGCGCTCCCTTCCACCCTGGCAGCAGGAGGTGCTGAAGGCAGCGTGTGAGATATCCCATGGCCCCGAGGCTTATCTGCGGGCAGGGAATGCTGTGCCGGGTCCCATGACTGGTCTCTAACCCTGCCATGTCGGCACAGAAGCCATTGAAAGAAGTGGTGTACAGCAGCTCCTCACTACTGCAGCCCCATCGTTGCTCAACAGAAGTGTTTGGCTCCCTCCTTAAAAATGAGGGATTTACTTGAATCCTGAGTATTTGGGTGTCTGGTGCAGAGTGACATTTTCCTGCTCAGGGGGAGTGAAAGGGACCTTCATATTACTGTATTTAGACCTGCTGCTGAATGTGATGATTTCTCATTCCTTAAATGGACGAATATCTTCCCCAGGAGTGAGTGAGTGTGTGTGTGTGTCTCCCGCTCCCTCTCCGTCTCTCTCTCCGCTGTTTAACGTTCACAAAGAACGTCACGTTTAGCTAAAACAGGGCAAATTTGAAAGTGTTTAAAAGGACAGGCTTTTATTAAGGGATGGCACTTTTCATTTCTCCATGCCAAGAATCCTTGTGAGAAGAAAACACGACTGAACGCAGGGATGTAATGAAAAAGTGTTGTCCTGCCTGTGTACATTTTATATACATAGAAGGTTTTGAAAATAGAAAGTGCCTGGACAACAGCAGTTGGTGAAATGTGGAAAATATGTTGCTGAGGTATGTGCCTTGCAGAGTGACTTACGAGGTTTACAGTACAAGCATCCCTGCGGGTTCATTTTTCCCCCCTTTCCTTCATGTTCCCAGTGTTCAATTAATTTACCTTAAGATTTCTGGTGCAGAGTAAAAGGCAGTTTTCCTCAACTGCCCTTTTTCCTCCCTCAGCTTTTGCTCCTTGCAACCTTTACCAGCTGAATAGGTCACGTTTTTTCCTTACCCCAGCCCCATATGAATCACAGAAAGCTCCCTCGTAGCCCATTGCTCAAAAAATCTGACTCTGGGCCTCTGGCTGCTGATGGGGTCTTGCGTACTTCGTTGAAGAGATCCAGCCCACCAGGAGGGAATTTGGAAGAAGCCAGACCTTCTTGCCAGTAGGTATTTTTGGGAATCATGAGTGTTATTCTTCAGCCTCTAATTTCTTGCCTTTCTTTCCAGCATAGCAGGAGTTTCAGGGCAAGTGTTTTGGTCCCAGTGAACCACGTAGCCTGCCTGCTAACTTGTGATTATTTTTTCTTTTTTTTTTTTTGACTAGAAACAAGCTTCTTGTATCAGCTGCTGTTTAGCTCACCAGCTAGTAGGCACTGAGATCACATCACGTTAACTAAAGGTGACCAGGTAGCGAACCCTTTTTCTGCAGAACAAGACAGACAGCACCGGCAGGCAGTCACTCACCAGCTGCATAATTCAAGGACTGTATTTTAGTGTAACCAGCCTGGGCTTTGGCAGAGAAGAAGACAGCACTCAGGTTGGTGAGGTCAGTGGGTTCGCAGCATGGTTTCTGTAGGTTCTTGGTACAGGGTAGAAGATGGGTGAAGGGAGCTCCCTCTAAACAGTGTCATTTGGGCACGTTCCAGTGAAACCCTGTGAGCCTGTGCTCTCCCCTAGAGGAATTAACGTCAGGCTGGTGCTTTCCAGTAATTTAAGGATATAAAAGCTCCCTTTTCAATAGCTCCAAGAGAAACACGGGGAACTCAAAAAAATGTGACAAAGTGTGAAAGGATTAAAAGAGACATGTCTCCTGATCGTCTTTGTCCAACCTTCCTCACCCCTGGATGTGACAAATCAGCTCTATGTGCACCGTTGTCAGAAGCAGGAACAATTTTCTATTGCCTTTTGCATGGCCAGGGTGTTCCCTAACAGTGTTTGGGGATCAGAAAGGAGGTGGATTGCAGGGTCCCTCATGCTCTTGCTAATTTGCTGCGTGACACTTTGCAGAACCTTTTACTTGTAGCGTGCCTCAGTTTCCCCATGCGACAACAAAAAGTACTGACCGGTGAATGCTGAGTTGCGACAAGAAAAAGCAAACTTTGGGGGCCAGGTTTCATGCCAGGTCCTGCAGCTCACACCAGAGCCCCAGCCCGTTACCAGCTGTGCCCTGCAGCACACTGCCCAGCTGCACCCAATGTCCCCAGCTGCTGATGGCCAGGGCTGCACAGCTGTGGGAGAGGAGCTGCTCCCCCGTCCTGAGCAGTCTGTGCTGCCCAGCCTTCGAGGCAGACATTTTAGACCTGGCCTTTGCACGTTGTGACTCGGCTGCTTCTGGCAAGTAAGTGCTTTTTAATAACTGTGTTCTCTCTTGGTTTTGTCCTTGGTAGACTGGGGGAACTGGCTGCGTTTCCAGTGGGCACCTCACCCTGCGGTGGGGTTTGCTGGCAGGGCAGCCAGCAGGGCTCCCCCGGTGTGTGCTGGTAGGAGGCAATGTGCTGGGCTGCTGCCTGGGGTAGGGCTGAGACAAAACCCAGTCTGTGTCTACCCTGGTGCTCACATTTGCAGTGCCTTCTACAGAAACAGAGGCTGCCTTCCCTTTGGTGTGGCACTGTGATGCTTGGGGGAAACCAAGGCAAGACAGCAGGGCCAGGGTTGCTTTTTGGCGCAGCCCTGCTGTGTTCAGGTCGGGGTCTCCGTGCCTGGCCAGAGCCTTCACACCCGGCAGGCTGTGGAGCACGTGAAGTGTTTCCCAAGGCTTTGGTGACAGGGAGCTTTGGAAGGTCCCTTCCATGTGGTGGAGTCTTTTGTGCAGCACAAATTGCCTGTGGTGGTGAGCCAGCACACCAAAAGCTCAAGGTGAGTCTTCCAGCCTGGACTCGGGCTCTGTCCCACTGCTACTGCAAACCAAGAGAGGGGCTTGGCCTCCAGAGATAGGAAACGTAAATAAACACTGCTGGCAGGTGAAACGGAGGAAATGATTTACCTGAGGGTGCAGGAGAGTGTCCAGCTTCCTTCATTTTCCCTTTCATCCTCCTATCTCCCAGCCCGTGCAGCTTCATCGGGAGCCAGCCTTTGTGGTCACCCTTGAGCTGTGTCCGCCTGGTATGCTGATGGGAGGCTGGCCCTTACCGCAGCCTACGCTGTCAAAAAAAATAAAAAATAAAATAAAATAGTGCAAGTGTAGCTAAGGTGAATCTAGGGTAGCAGGGAAGAGGGAGGATGGAGGGCAGGGCCCAAGTCCTTCCCTTGCTGTGCAGCAGAAGCTCTGAGCTGCGCACTTGTAGATCGAGGGGCTGGCATGGTCTCTCACAGCTCAGGGAAAAAAACAATCCCATCCCCAAAAGGGAGCAAGCACTAACCTAATAAAGGCACCAGCTGGACGAAGGGAAAACCGGCTCTTTGGAAAAAAAAAAAAAAAAAAAAAGCTCCTTTCATTAGAAAAATAATATATTTCATCCTAATAAGGTAAAAATATTTGAAATGGGGCAGAAGTGAGCACTAGGCAGCATCTGTCAGGCCCTTTCTGGAAAGGGGAAGATTATTAAACTCAATTACAATTTATTTTTGTAAAGTGTCTTTCAGACTAAAAATCTCCCCAAATGCTTTGCAAGGACTGCTCAGGGGTTACTTACAGTATGGAGCATCTTAGAAGAATGCCCCTGTTCCCCCCCCAAGTCCCTCTTAAGTCCCTCTTTTCTGCATCTGCTGAAGGATTTAACCTTTTTTTTTTTTTTTTGCTTCTGTATTTGTGCAAATGATGAGAGATCTTTCGTGATGCTAGCTGCAAGAACATGCCTGGAGAGGGGCTGGGGGGGGGAAGTTGATGTTGCATTTTTTGGTTTCAGATAAAATACTTGCTTCTCTCTAGGACTGTGTCTCCCGAGCGAGGAGGTGATTGCTGGGTAGGGTTGATTCAGAGCATCGACGAGTACAGCTGGTGCATTTGTTGCCTATTTTTCTTTTCACGTCTGTCACTTTGCCAGCTCGCTTGTCTGTCTCTCAGTTACTCTGTCTGCTTGGCGTGGCTGTTCCTACAGCATCCCCGCTGGTGTTTCAGCCCTCCGTCGTGCCTGCCTGTCTCCTGTTGCCCGATGCTCTTCTCTTTTGCCCCCTACCACTTCAGACACCGGCTGCTTTCAACTTTGTCCCTCCACTTAGATAAGCTGGCACTGAGGTTTTATCTGTGTGGAGCCAGAGCAACACCTCTTTAAAATTAATTTCTGTAACGATTTAATTAAAGTGGAGGAAGTTTTGGGGTGGACATCCTTCCATCTCCTCGAACAGTTTACTTTAGTTAAAGCAGCTTAAACTGACGTGTGCATGCACAAAAGGCTCTGTGCTAAACTCCTGCAGCTTTCCGACGTGGAGGATCTGCTCTTTGCTCCCTGCCCTCAGACAGCACGAACAGCAGGTGCTGTTAGTTGGTAACACCAACTCTTCCACCACAGCAGATACAAGTTTTGGTGTGAAAGGGAGGTTGGTGCTTGCAGTCTCGTCCATTCCCCAGAATGAGCTAGGTGCCGGGAGCTGGAGCATCACGCTGTTGCACCTGGGTTTTGCCTCCTTTTGTTCCCAGCTCTAAAAACCTGAGGCAGAGCCCGATCCCTCACCTACAGCAGAGGAGCACCGTGCATGTCCCCGGTCCCTGCTGGCTGCAGGGAGCCCTCCCTGTGCAGGTGGCTCCATCCCAGCCTTGGGGACAGGCAGGGGGACACGCTGCTGCCCGGCCACCAGCCAGAGCTGCTCCCCCTCCGTCCCCTGGGCACAGCCGGGATGGGGCTCGCATTGTCAGTGCCTGGTGGCTGGGCGACCCAGCTGGGTTCCCTCTGACTTGCTTTGGGTGCAGATCTTGGCTTTGTTGTATCCTCAGTGATGCTGGGGACTGTGGGGCTCTGGTATCTCAGCAGAGCTTGGCTGGGGATCGCAGGAGAGTCCCAGGGACCGCTGGTGACAGCAAGGGCACGGGGCAGAAGCTGTGGGTAATGAGAGCACGAGGCAGCACCCAGCCCTGTGGGAAGGGAAGGGGGCAGGGAAAGGCTCCTTAGTCTGCCTGTCAGATAAATCTTTGTCTGTTTACTTAAATCCTCAGTGTTTCTTCATTTGTTTGTTTAAAAGTTTCCCTGCCAAAAAAGAGCAAAAGGAAGGAGGGAAGCCGCCTCCATCGGTCACCCCTCCTCATCAGGATGGGGCTGGGGCACTTCAGGGACAAGAGCAGGACCCGGGCCCAGAGCACCCAGCCCCGCTCCCATCTGCTGAGCCAGCGCCGACTCGTGCAGCAGGACGCGTGGTAGGGATGCCAGGAGCCCCCCTCCTGCCCCAGGGCCACCACGAAGAGCTTGTCCTCCCTTCCACCACCCACTGAAGCTGCAGGTGCTGAGCGGTGCCTTTCTGCCCCCTTTGCCAGCCCCCAGCCTTTTGGGAGAGGCTGCTGCCTCCTGAGGGAGGTGCTGGCGGCTTGCAGGTACCCATAAAATAGAGCAGGTGTAAGAGATGGCAGCCGTGCAGGTCCTTCACACGCTGGTGTGTGCTTCATTCACCCCAGTTTGGTCAAATTAAGCCAAGTTCGGCTTTGGTTTGTAGAGAAAGACAGAAATCATTTATTCATTTGCATGTTTGTGTATATGTGAAACTCAGAAATTCCCAGCTACCTGTTGGCTTTTTGTTTGGAGTAGGTGTGAGCCCGAGAAGTCTTTAAAGTTCACATTCCCATTGAAGATGATGTGAGAGTTCATTGTCAAGTCGTAAAGCTTCAGGCCTCTGGAATGTGACTGGGGGGGAAGGGAAGAGGGAGAAATTTGCTTGGCTCCTCTCCTCCCTTTTCCCCAAGAGCTTCCCCTGTGGAAGGGCTTCCCGTGGCCGTTCAGGGAGGCACCTGCGGCTCTGAGCACGGGGCTGTGCCCGGCTGCAAGAGCCCGGAGGTGCAAATCTCAGCCGGGACCCCAGCAGCTGATGCCGTCTGTGGGCACCACGTAGTGGGATTGTTGGTGCAGAACCTTACTGCGTGGAAAGGGTTTGTGCTTTGCATTGCTATGCCCAATGAAAAAAAAAAAAAATATATATATATAAAAATATATATATAAATATAAATATATATATATATTTTTTTTTTTTTCTGGGAAGATTAAGACATTTGTTACCTATTAGCTACTTGTTATCTATTAATGGCCGTTTTCTGTCTTAGCTCCCATACCTGAACAACACGGACTGTACCATAAGTTGGCTCGATTCTTTTTTTCCTCTCCATTGTGCGATTTTTTTTTTTCCTTTTGTGTCTGTGTTTTGTCAAAGTGTCCATTTCTGGCCTCTTGTCCTGTCACAGGGATGAGGCTGTGTTAGAATAACTCTTGCTGGTCTTCTAAGAGAGCTGGGAGCCTCCAGACCCCCTCGATCAGGGGCAGGTCCCATTTCCCCATCAGTAGGTTTCTCTAAAGCTGCAGCAGCAGGGGTGCACATCCCCTGCCCTGCCTTGGGGACTCTCCTGAAGCTGGGCTCCCCGGGCAGCCTCCTACCCAGGGACTCCACCAGTGCCCTTCTCTGCTAAAATCCTCCTCCCTTCCAAATTTCATTCTCTAGAGGCATGAAGGTGGGCTCATCTGACCACCCTGTTTCCCTAGCAGGTCTCCAAGCCTTTCTTAATGTCAATCTGCTGCAGGAAGCCAGCGCTGAGCCTCGGTCCTTCCAGCTGGAAGTTATGCCCAGTATGTGTTGTGCGTCATAAAGCTGCCTCTCCTCTGTACCAGCAAACATCAGAATTCCGAATTTCCTTCTGCCAGGGTGTAGGAGGCATTGTGCTACCAGAGTAAATATCCTCCCGGCCAGGCATGCTTTCCTGCATTCCCTGCTCAGCTGAGCAAGCTGCGCGGGGTTTCTCTGGGCACCAGCTCTGCACACCTGCTGCTGGCTGCCCTCGTGCTAGACTAGCTGTAAGAAGTAGCTGGACAAATTGTCATTATCATCTTCCTGGGGCACCAGGGTGGCCATTACCCTTATTCTAGGCCAACACAGGATATTCTCTTGTCTTTATTTCTGTCCATATCAGTCTGTACGGCTCCAGCAAGGACAGGTCTGCGTGCTTAGGCTGGGCTAGGCAGTGTTTGGCTAATGGCATCTAAAAACCAGGGTGATGGGAAGCAGCAGCAGAACCATCTGCCCTCCTATTCTGTGTCCTAGCATACTTTGAATGCTGCTTCTTTGAGGCAATTGAACTTTTGCTGCCTGTATTGGTTTAAAGTCTATGAATCATCTGGAAAGGAGAAGGCAGGGCTCCTCTCTCAGGGCTCCTCTGCTTGAGCTGCACATTTGGGCTGGTACCAAGGGATATTCCCTCTGTGGGTGCCTGTGTTGGTGGGTGCTGCACAAGGTCCGTAGTGTGCTGAAAAGCGGTACCGAGTGCCTTGTGTAAATCAGGCAGTGTAGTTTTGTGGATGTGTGCGTAACTCTAGGGACCTGCACTCCAAAACCACTGTTAGAGGGACAGGCTTGATGTAATCAATACATAACAACAGCAGCAACTGCTCCGTTTTTGTCCAGACTTCCAAACAAGCAGCTTCATCAGGTGCCTGCTGCCACTTTGCCTTCCCTGCCCGAGGCTCCCCGAGCTCATGGGCTGGATGCAGAGCTGCAGAGCTGCACTGTCACAGTTGGGAGGGCTTGGAACAAATGCAGTAGGTTGAGGCTTTGATTTGCTCAACTCGCTGCTTCTCCCACGACTTAGTCATTCTGTTACGGAGTGCAGTGAGAGCTCCGCAGAGAGCAGGCAAGTTCCAGCAGGAGCTTTCAAACCGTGAGTCGTGTCGTGCCCCCCCCCGGAAAGGCAGTGATGTAAATATCCCGTGTGCTGTGGGCAGAGCTCCAGTGAGAACAAACCTCCGTGCTCCGAGGTCGGATTAGGAGCGTGTTCAGATAATGACATCTGAAAACAGGATGGCTGGGAGCTGCAGCAGAGCGACCAGGGGGCTTTGAAAGAGAGAGGAGTCTAATCCTCTCAGCTAATAAGGAGGCAGCTGCTGCCAGTGCGTCAGGCTTGGCAAGCTCTGAGCGCTGCTCCTGGGCTCCCTGACCGGTGGCAGGGAGGACGGGGCGCAGGCACCCAGCTGCTGCAATGGTGGGGGACGAACGAAGCAGGAGGGGGTTTCTTGGCTTTCTTTGGGTAAAACAAGACCTTTGTCATTGCTCCTTGCTCCCTCACCCCCATAGCACAGGGCAAGGCAGGCAGCAGAGTGGTGTTCCCCGCCAGGCCAGCTTCTCAGTGCAGGTTTGGCCCTGCAGAGGCTGCCGTGGAGGCCGAGGGGCTGGCTGCAGACACCCAAACACCCACCCGTGGTGCAGAACCTCCCGGGAGCTCAATCCTGGCATCTGCATGCCTGTCCCCAGTCTGCCTCGCTCAGAGCAGGGCTGCTGGTGTGGCCCTGCCCAGGCCTGGCACAAGTCTCAGGTAGGAGAATGGTGGGGACAAGCTGCATCCAGTGCCTGGGCTTTTATCTAATCTCTTGTTCCTTTGCAGCCAGCGCTCACAACTGCTGGATCGGCTGCACCACGGCGGTGCTTGTGTGGCACTGTGGATGTAAGGACACCCTCTTGCCTGGAAAAGACTTTCACATCTCCAGGGACAGTTGCTTCACTTTGCACATGCCACGTACGAGTATCATCAGCAGGAGGAAGCTATGAAGTGGCCAGGTAGGAATGCTTTCTTTCAGATCCTGATGTATGGCATGCAGATTTATGTATTCTTGTGCTACCAAAATATTATGGCTTCAGCACTGCATTTTAGTGTTTATTAGTGGAGTTAGCAGTCCCACCCCGTCCATGCAGACAGCATGTTCCATTCATGCTCCGTTTCTATTTGCTAGGGTGACAGTCGAACATGTATTGACTTAGTGAGCTCTGAATGTCACTGTAACATTTCAAGTGGGTTACAGCAGGCACAGTGCCACTGTGCATCCCAGCTCACCACCGTGAGTTTGGAGGCCAACGTGGGAAGAGAGAAGGCAAAATGCAAGCAGCTGCATCTCTAATTCAGGCCCCCGATTAGCAAATCACAGAGGTGTTAGCATCGCTTCCATCAGGGGCCCTGATGAATACTTCAAATAAAACTGCAGGGCTGCTTAAAAAGTTTGAAGCCAGAGTCTGTAAAAAGAGAAGCCTGTTCTTTTTGCACTTATCACCATAGTGCTGGTGCTAAAACAGTGGCTGTTAAAATGGGTGCAGGGACATTACTGGGACCGTGGTGCCTTAAAAGACCTGAACTGCTCCAAGACTTGTTAGCTGTCCAAAAAATAAAACACCTCCTCAATCAAGAAGACAACTCGATCACTTGAAACTTTGTTGTTTTTTTTTTTCCAGTTTTTATTGAGTGAAAATGTCAAACCTTGCATCAGTCATGCAAAAAAAAATCAAATAAATAAAACACATATATTAAATTTCTAATAGCACTAAATTCAAGTGGAAAAATATTCAGTTCTTAATAACGCAGGTGCTGAAGAGACCAGATTCAAGTAAATCAGAGCACACCATCCTGTTTAGGGTGTTTTTTTTCACTTTCTGCATTTTTGTCTCAAAACCTATATATATATCTATATATCTATATATATGTATATACATATAGATATATACACACACACATATATATGTGCATACATATTATTTTTATATTTATATATATACACATACATATTTATAAAACATTAAAAAGAGCATTGGTGGTTCAAGCATTTATTTCCCCCCTCCCCCACGGAAAGAAAAAAATAAAACAACAACAAAACAAAAAAATTACACATTTAAAATTCAAAATGAGCTAGCAATGGCTTATAGTCCTAGTGTGCAATATGGATATTACAAAAGGCTAGAATTCTCCCTCTTTGTCTTTTTTTTTCTTTTTTTTTCTTTTTTTAAAGTTTTTTTTTTTTGCTACATTGGAAAAAAATTTTTTACTTTTTTTTTTCTTTACAAAATTCCTTCCACGCAGACTTTAATCCAGTTGAGTTTGTGGCTAGAATGAACAATCTAGTCAATAGTTTTTATTTTATTTCATTTTTTGCTCTTCAGCAGTGAATGGTAGCAGAATCAGGAGGGTCCATCTCAAGGTTTATTTTGTTTGTTTTTCATTTTGTTTTGGACAGAACAGTTCCGTTTCCTCTCTCCTCTTTCCCCCTCCTCATACAGTTCGTTGAATCTCTCTCTCTTTCTCTGGTCAGTCTTTTAAGCACTTATTTCAATAGCATTGTATTAACAGTCCTGTTGATATGATAGCTTGAAGTGAAAACCACCTTGCTGTCATAGGGATCTTTGTGCTGTTGGGGCCTTTGTTCAGAAAAGCACTTAAGCATGGGCTTAAATCTCTGCCGGATCGGAAGGCATGTGCTTAAGAGTTTTGCTGAATTAAAGCCTTAACATGGCAGAATAAAAAGACGGGTTTAACTTTGACTTTGTTGTTGTTGTTGCAAATATAGACGTAGTAAGAGCTTTACAGAAACAAGGCTTGGAGAAGGTAGGACAAGAAGTGCACCGGGGGTGGGACGAGCCCGCTGCCAGCTCTGGCTGCGAGGGCAGCGTGGCCACGGCCCTGCCAGGGAACCTGGGGGACCCTGGCCCTCTGGGGTCGGCCCCGCACGGGTGCCGAGTTTAGCAGTAACCTGCTGGGAGAGAAATCTCATACCCTGTGCCAGCTCCTGGAGAGGAGGTGAGAAAGGACTGGGAGAAAGGCTGAGACGTCGGGGAGAAGTAGGGTGCCTTGGGGGAGAAAATGGTGTGCATAGATAAACACAGGCCCCTCTGGCACGTGCGGAACGGCCCCGTGTCAGCACGGATCCCGGCCCGGTGGCGCTGACCACACCTGCCTCAAGCTGCCTCTGGGACGATGCACATCGTCCTGCTCCAGCCACCAGCACCCTCTGCCCCTCTCCTCCACACCCTGCTGCTTCCCACACCGTCCCGTGTGGCCACTGCTGCGATGGGGCTGGGGCAGAGGTTCAGGCGCCGTGCCCGGGTGCGGGTTCCCAGCCGGTGGCAGCAGGGACGCGGCCCCTCTGTCCTGAGTGCTACCGAGTGGCCGAGGTGAGCCCCGGCCTTGGCACCGCCACCGGGCTGCCCCGCACACCCTGCTGACAGCGCTCACGGGTGGGTTTCACCTAACGCCTGCAGGATGCGGTGCCGAAGGCCGTGGGCTCGGTCCTGTCCCCCCAAAAAGTCAGTGCCATCCATCAGGGTGGTTTCAGTGGTACAGAGTAAAAAACAGCTACTCGGCAAGACGGGGCGTGTGTTACGGCCGAGGGTTCCTCCTGGAGCCCATCACCTCGGTATCTGGGTAGTTGAGTATGGGAAACATGTACAAGTACAGAACCTGCAGCAAATGCTGGTAAAATTAGGATTTTTTTACCCCATCCCAGTTCTATAAATTCCAGGCCCTCGTTCCCTCACTCGGCCCCAGGAACGAGAGCTTCATTATATTCAAGAATCGGGTTGTGCTAGAAAACACACAACTGAGGGCAGGGGATATACCAAACAAAACAAAAACAAACAAAAAAAAATGAAACCCTATAAAAATAAAAGCCACACAAATAACTGATAGAGGAAAAGAACTCCAAAGTATTAAATAAACTACAAACTAGTAATAACAATATTTCATTTGTTTTGTTTTCATTTGTTTCATCTCTACAAAATTCAAGTTAAAATTCGGAATCGTGCAGCTCCGGTCAGTGCTAGGAGTGTGAAGTCAGCCTCAAAACGTAGACTTAAGGCCCCCCTCCCCTGCCACCCCCTACAAACAAACACTAAATTGAAAAAAAATAATAATAAAAGAGAATAAAAATTGCACACAATTAACCGTATCTAAGGGCTGTCCAGAAGGCAGGTGACCCCCCCTCATCCCCCTGGCATGGGTTGTCTCTCTTTTGTTCTATATATAGGAATAACCTTTACAGGAAAAATACTGTACAACTTCTTAATATTTTTTTTTGCCTTTCTTTTTGAAACATTATCTGAGCATTCTGTCCCCACATTTACGCAGCTGATCTGCTTGTTTATAAATCAGACCTGATCTGCACCAGTTCCTTAGGGAAATAATAATAATAATAATAAAAAAAAGGCAACCTAAACTCCTCGAGGCTTTTTTCTGTTCAGGGTGGAAACAAATTACGGGGATCCCTTGGAGCTGAAGTGCTCTTGGAGGGGGGGCTGCATGTCATTGGAAAAAAAATAACTAGATTTAAACAACAACAAAAAAAGGGGACAAACTTCAGACACAAGGAACCTTTTGCTAGGCTGGTATACTTACAAACTGGCACTGAAATAGCTATTATCAGAACTAATTCATACAGCTAGTCCTTCTGGAGCCTGTGTTTATGTAGACAAGCCCTCTTTCTCAGACTCAGGTGAGGATTTGGGGTCAAACAGCTACTGTCTCACCTGTCAGAGTCCTGGGCAGCCTCCTGTAGTGTGTGTTCCCAGACTGGGCTAGGAAAAGAGAGCAGGGAAGTGCCTGTAACCAGGGGAAAGCCCAAGCTTCTGGAGGTGGCAGGTCCCAACGTGGTAATCCATTTGCTCGTGCAGTGCCCAAGCTATTAGCCCTACTTGGCAAAATTTATCAGCGTGGACCCAGAAATGCATTAATTTTTTTAGCTGGACTACATCCTGGCCTCAGCTGGCATCTCCCCCATCTCTCTGGGCCACGTAGGCTGCAGCAGCCTCGTGTTTTGTGGCTGCAAACCCCATGCCTGGGCCAATAGCTCCGCAGGTGCTGCAGAACAGCCCCCGCTTAGTGCTGAGCAAAGGAGACCCCAGGCGGAACAGAACATCCCATGGAGGGACCCTGACCGCCTGCCTGCCTTCTCCTCCCTCCGCAGTGGCGCCTTCACCTTCTCCCAGAAGTCACCAGAGCTACATTTCAGTCCATGCACAAAGCCAGACTTGTCCGTCCCCGATGAAAGGCCGGGGAGGAGGGCTTGGGGGTGTGGGGACATACCTGTCATGGTGCGACTGCGCGGGTCAGCGAGCAAGTAGTATTGGCAAGGCTGCGTTAACGGCTGGGACGCTCTCCTGCGAGAACGGCGCTCCTCGTGCTGCGCCGCGGCACAGCGTGCCAGCTCACAACCTCCTGACTCTACCGAGTCCTCCTGAGATGGGGATACTGAAGCACCACAAAAACGCCTCGCCCTCCGCAGAGGGGAGGCACCTGGGGGTTGGGATGAGATGGAACTGGATGGGAGATTAACCCCAGTCCTCCAGTGTGACAAACCCTTTATCTGCCCGCTGCGCCCTTCCCGAGTTACTTCAGCTGAATCCCTACAGGCAGAGCAGCAGGGATGGGGAGAGGTGCCCTACAGCTGCAGACAGAGAAAGTTTTACAATATAAATAGCATTCAAAATTATTATCATTAATAGTAAAAAGGATCTGGAAGAACAGAGGAGTGTCCCATTCCCACCCCTGCTCATTCATTAATGCGTCCTCATTTATGTGACAATAAATACCCACTCCCACCCTTGCTGTCTGATGCCATCCATTTAATGCTGGAGAAAGGAGAGAGAGAGAGGGAGAAAGGGGGGGGAGAGAGCGCACCCCTCACCCCCTCCTTCCCACTGGCAAAAGCTGAGCTAGTCGTCTTTGTGACACCAATTCCTTGCATGTTATATATGTGTGTGTGTGTGTACATTATATATATAGAAGAGACACACACACAAATATATATTTCTAAAATTCATTACCTGTTGTTCCCACCCACCCCCCTCCAAGAAGTGGAGATTATTATTAATATCGTACAACTGAAAACATGGAAAAATAAAACCCAGAAAGAAAAACGGGGGGGATAGAACCCCACCTATAACAAAGGGTCCCCAGATGGGCGCAGGCCCAACGCACCATTCGGGGGGCAAGGAGAAGCAGCTGGTACCCTCGAGGTCCGTGTCTGTATAAAAGGGTATTTTTTGGCTGCGTCCTGCCCCCGTGTTCTGTGATCTGCAGAACGAAGTGATGCAGCACCAGTCCCGCTGCGAACCTGTCTCTTATGGGGCCTGTGGATTATGGGTTTCCTTCCTTCCTCTCTCTCGTGCGTGTGCCACGGAGTTTGTTTTTCATTTGCCATCCCAATCTTTGTTCTTGCCTCATATGGGGTCCTCTTAGTAATTCTGTGTAAGAGCAAAACCAAACCACTGCTGCTGTTGTCTCTAAGATTAAGGAGAAGCTGCTGGAGCAACGGTAGAGGCTGGGGCAGCAGCTGGAGCCGGAGCAGGAGTTGAGGCTGGAGTAAGGGCTGGGGCTGGCTCGCCCTGTGGCCTGGAAGCATCGCCATGGTCTGTGGAAGAAGCGGCCTCCTCTGGTTCCCCATCATCTTTAGTGGCCAGGCCCTCAGGGTCGGGCAGCGATTCTTCAGAATCTGTGTTCAGATCTTCCTCTTCATCATCCTCCTCGTCGTCGTCATCGTCATCCTCCTCTTCATCATCCTCCTCTTCTTCGTTCATCTCCTCCTCGTCATCCTCTTCGTCCTCTTGGGAAGAGTCATCCTCGTCCTCCACATCGCCGGAGCCAGACGCCGCTGCCCCCCTCTCCTGAGGGGTGGTCCCGGCCCTGCTCGGGGACGGACCCTCAGTGGCTTCCGACTGCTTCTTGCTGAGGTCCAGGGAATCATTGAGGCCCACGCCTGCCGCGTTCTGCAGGAAGAAGAGGGAGCTGTTGTTGTCAGTGCTGAGGTTGAGGGAACTGTCCAGGTTGATGGAAGAGTTCTGGATGTCATACTCGAGAGTGGAGTGGGCGAGGCCCTCGGGGCCGGGCGAGATGGCAGGCAGCTCCCCTCGCTCCTGCTTCTCGTGTTTGCGCTTGTGCGAGTCCATCTGGGACATGCCCACCACCGTGTGTTTGCAGCCAGGGTAGGTGCAGTGGAAGTGGGAGCACTTGAGTTTGTACTTGCAGTCAGGCACCTCGCAGTCCACGCTTGAGCTGAACTGGCAGAAGCCAGCAGCGCTGATGACGTCCTGCTTGCCGTGGTGCTTGCGGTGGGCTGTCACCTTGGTGCTGTCAGTGCAGCGGAAGCCGCAGCGCAGACAGTGGAAGTGTGTGCTATTGCCAGAGAACTGACAGTCTGGGAAGTTGCAGCTCAGCGAAGACTTGAAGCGCTTGAAGTCATCCAATACCAGGTTGTCAACGCGATCGTGGTGCTGGGCGTGCTTGTACATGTGGGTACGGCCGCAGAACTTGTAGCCGCAATTCTCCCGCGTGCAGTGGTAGTGGGTAACCTTGAGAGAGAATTGGCAGCTCGAGTCCTTGCAGTCCTCGTAGAGGTCGTAGCGCCGGAATCCCTCCAGCATCATCCCTTCATCCAGCATTTTGCGTGAAGATGCAGTCTTGCGGCGCTTGCCAAACGGGGACATGTCCTCAATAATCCAAAAACGCTTTTTGGCCCCCGAGGCAGTTGGCATAGTGATGGTATTCCCTGAGGAGAGAAAGCGAAGAGTGGCGTTGCTGACAGGCAGGGCTCTCCTCATCCCCTAACCGTCCTGGCAAGCTCTGTACCTGCCAAGGCGCAGCTGCAACTGCTCCCACCCAGCAGCTTCACAGGCTCTAAGGGAGCCTCAGCTCTGCGCCCATGGGTGGCTGCTGCCCGCTGCCCATCGCTTCCCTCAATTTTCAGCACATCCACCTTGCCTCTAACTGCCTTTCTCATATAGCTTAGGCCGAGTACTAGCTGCTCCTTCTCTGTTTTGCAACTCTCTTAGTTTCTCCTGCTTCTTAGTAATCTCTAGTCCTGTTTTCCTCTTAAATCAGACTTTAATGCAGAGTTTACATTGGTCCAGACCAAGGACCGAGGTGTTTTACCGGAGTTCACTGGGGTTCAAGTGGTGAATGAGTGTAAGTAGTCTAAAAACTGGCACGTGTGTAATGTTTTCCCCTATCCAGGCTCTTCGTGAGCAGGACACCGTAATGCACTGCAACTGCCAAGGACAGCAGGAAGTGAAGGAAGATCCCATGCGTGATTGAAAGTGCAAGGGGGGGGATTTATAGAAATAGGATGGACTTTGGCCAGGAGTCTGCAACATCCCTCACTGTAATGAGCCTACATATTACGATGAGTGCACTTAGAAAGACAGATGGACAGATGTTCAATGGGGCTAATTCTCATCATCACTAGCCAGTGGACTCTGAGAGAAAATACCAGTTCCACAGCTTTCCCTTGGGTCTCAAAAATCACATGATGCCCCTAGTAAATAAAGAGCCCTCATCTGTCTTCCAGTTTCATTCACAGGGCCAGCATAACTGGCTACTGCTCACGTCCCCTAGGATCAAGCCTGACATCAAGGACTCGACCTCATTATATCTGTTAACTTTTTTTTTTCCTCTCCTCTCCCTGCTATTTCCAGAATCAAACCACAATCTCCAGTATCAACATGCAGCGCAGACAAGGTTGGAGGCAAGAAGAATTTCTCACCAGGTGCAAAATTGTAAGTGTAATTGGAAATTATAGCTTGCAACTGAAACATACTTTTTTTTTTTTTTTTTTTTTTTTTTTCTTTCCCCTCCATCTTCATGCTTAAACTGCCAACCTCTTAAAAAGAGGCATGATTTGTGACATGCAGTGCCTGGGGCCTGAGAGTCCAGAGCAGCTTGCATCCTCATCTAGGAAACTGAAGAAACAGTCATTTGTTTGAATGTTGTAGAATTATTTTTTTTCTGGCTGATAAGCAGGTATTAAAAGTGATGGATGCTATTTTCGCCATATCTGGCCCTTTGGTTGACAACCCTTTAAACGAAGGTGGCGATCATCCAAGGAAGCCTCTAAAAGTTAAACTGACACTACTGATAGATGTAAGTCTACGGGCAGGGTAGCAGCAAGCTAATCTCCTCGTACAGCGGGTTGTTCACATGCCTGGGCTGTACAGATTGCGGGGTGAGCAAAGAGCAAAAGATTTTTCCACCCCTCGGACTGCGAGTAGGGATGCCAGCTTGGGGCAGCCGTGGTGAGACCACTTTAGTGACTTCTAAGGGGGTAGGAACTGCTTATTAAGGCTAATTTAGGCAGCCTACCAGTGGAGGAGTAACTTTCTATCCCTATCGGTTTTATTATAGCAAACTTAGCTATAGAATCTGTGACCACTGTCTGCTCCCCCTTGCAAACATATTGTAAAACACACTTCTGCTTCCAGGCAGATCACTGCCTGCACTAATCACTGCTATCCAGATCAACTCCTTACTCCTTCATTTAAAAAAAATTGCAGCCAAACCACCAAGTCTTTCATCATTAATATGGGTGGTAATCGTGTCTGCCTTCAGACAGCAATACAAGATAAGACATTTAGGAAAAAAGACGGACTATCTGCAAAATAAGCAGAATTTAGATTTGACCCGTTTTAAACTCGGTGTATCTGCCCAGCTCTTACAACAGTTCAAACAGATGTATTTATAACTTTAGTTAAACCAATTTTGTTTTCTCATACAGCCAAAGTTTCAGAGCAAGTGTATGAAAAAGAAAGAAGATAACCTACTACACTCATTAGCCACTAGACAGAATTCAGTCCCTAATGCCCAGCTGAAGATTACAAGCCTCAACAGATTTAATCCCAAGCAAACCTCAATGGTAAGCACATGCCATAAGCTTGTCTTTAAAATTAACATTAATGTAAACATTCAGGAAACTATATGAAGATCTACAGGTAAAAAGAAAAGAAACTTAAAAATATATAATTAGAAGAAAGCACAGCACAAGGTAAGATATTTCAGGTCACATGCAAATCAGTTAAAAAAAGGGCAAAAAAAATGGTTTCTTGTGTATTTTGTTCCTTGGAACACACTGCTCTGGACAGGGCAAGGGTGCTTCTCCTGCCAAGTCGTGTGACAAAAACCTCTGAACTTCCAAGTAGAGCTGGTCTTCCAGCCATGCTCCCAACCATTCGCCTTGGATTTGCACATTACTACACATGCACACACTAAAGCCAGCAGGAAGAATGACTGGGACATTTATAGGCTGCCAGAATCCTCTTTAGTGTGAACTTTAAGCACAAATATGTTCTTAATTAACTAGAAAAGAGCTGGGAGTTGGGAAAAGAAGCCAAAGCTGAGACACACCCTAAAAACCATTCCCAGCTGGAATGAGAATCCCCAGCCTGAGACATCTCTGATCTTAGTCACACATGGGAAACATGGCAGCTTGAAACTAAAACTCTCGGTGTATTTTCTGCAGCTGTAAGAGCAGATGCAAATAACAGAGTGTGAGAAACAGCCTGAGATGTCTGATGATGTCATGGTAGTGACACTGACTGTACTTCCCTCTGTTACTTGCACTGGGGAAAGCAGCTCTGAATTTTATGGCTTTATATATGAATAGGAGGCAGTGAAGCTTAAAGGAGCTATAAAAATACTGGAACTGGGCACCCTGTCAGACATTCACCTGCAGAGATGTGTGCAGCAGACTGATAGGCCCTGAGCTGGGTGGCCTACAAGATCTAAGCTGGAAGTCCAAGCCCCATAAATGCTACATGAGCAAAAGTTTGCTTTGTGGCCACCCCGCTGTTATTAAGAGGCAAAAAGTGGATTTTAACTGTGGATTTTGTTAGATTTATCTCACGGTTTGGAATTGGTGGAAATCACTCTGAATTTTTCCCAATGATTTGCTGTGGTTTTGGCTGTGGTTACTGCATCAGCAGAGAACTGGAGCAGGCATGGAAGGGCCCTTGGATAAAGTTAAGTGAGGCACAGAGTGACACAGGCTTTTTTTACTGACCCAAAGGTGCCGAGAAAAACGTGGGCAGGGTGAGTGGGGAAGGAGATGGGCAAAGGACACTAAGAGAGAAAGCAAAGAAGTGTTACCTGCTGCATCCTGAACTAAGGGAACGTCACTTTTTACTGGAGTTGGAGTGGCAATGATGGGCGAAAACCCAGTGGTGCTGGCGGCAGGCATGACAATGCCTCTGCTGGATCCAAGAGTGGCACTGAGCAGAGAGTATGAGAGACAAGATGGAGAAAAAAGATAGGGGAGGGTGGGAAGGGGAGACCTAAGCAGGGCTTGTGAGAAAGATGGAGGCAGAGGTGGTGGCTGAGGTTGTGGTACATTGTGGGTAGCATCATCGGCAGCAGCAGTAGCAGTAGAAGGAACCAGGCAGCCTGGAGAATGTGGAGAGAAAAAAAAAAAAAAGCAGAAAAAAAAAGAAAAACAAAAACAAACAAAAACAAAACAAAACAAAAAAACACAAAAGAACCAAAATGAGAACCCAGGAGCGGAAGCAATATGATGAAAATGGAAAATACATTCACAAATGTATGAAACAGAATTGTAACAGAGAAGAAACGGAAGGTGAGGAACTGACAGCATCAGGAAGAGGAGGGTTGTCTGTGCAGAAGGTAAGGTGGCTGTAGTGGCGTGGGGGAAGAGCCACAGGCTTTCAAGCAGAAATTCCTGCTTGTTTGGTCCTTGTTCATTTATCTGGTGCCAGCTTGTACCAACTAACAGCCGTGAGGGTTGTCTTACACCTTGGGCAGGTGGACTTGCTCACTACCATTTCCTAGGATGAGTGACTTGGGCTGGATGGTGTGCTGAGAAGGGAGAGAGAGCTAGGAAGTGCTGTCCCACCAGAACTCTTTGGAGGAGCTTTGATGCCATGGGGCACCCACTGTCATGCCCCAGCAGTGTTTGTATGAAGGTAACATGTGGTTAGAGGTGCTATCTGATAACCTTCACCTGTCTGGGGTGGGAAGGCGGAGTAGGAAAACGTATTTGAAATTAAAGCAAACTCGGAGAGGCAGCTTATCTAGAATGTATCACCTAACGCTGGGAAGGAGAGCTAAGAGATCCCTGAATCAACACTAGATGATAACAGAATTCATAAAAGAAACCACGCTACTGAAGAGATAATTGTGTAACACGGGGCAGTGGGAGATGGCTACCCATTATCCTTGCAAGCAGGAAACAATGGCAGAAACTTACTGCAAAAAAGAGGAGAACGATGGAGGTCTCCTCTGTGCAACACTTGACAAAGTGGCACAAGAGGCATGAGGCAGGGAGCTCAGTGAGCTGCTTTTATATGTTGCTTTCTGAAGATGCGGTAGTCTTTTTTTCCCTCCTGTATATAATATTTGCTATTGTACAGCCTCTCTGTACCTCAACAGTATCAGAAAAAATGCCCGACTTCAGATGCTGCACAAAGAAATACAAAAAGATAATGGGAAATGCCAGGGACAGAAGAGCCCTGCAACATTTTTTTTTTCCTTTTAAATCAGTTATTCAAAGAGATCCACTCCAAGACAGAGGATAAAAACCTCTCTTCAGGGGAGAAGAAAGATATGCTGTTAGTTCATGGACCCTTGAAGTGCACATTCTGACGGATCTCTTCTCAAAAAAGATGGAGGGAGCTACGTTAGTAAGAGGAACTATCGTAAAGCTGGTGCAATTTGTATTTTAAGGTGCAGTTGTCCTTTGGCCTCTCTTCATGAGTTTATCACCCAAGAGAGCAGGCAACTGACGATCCATGTCACCCCCCCTTCTTCCTTACCTGCTGATGTACTCTCGTTGCCCACTGGAGTGCTGGAGCAGCTGCGGTCCATATTGGAAGATTCAGAGGAGATCCCCCCTGGGCTACAGCCAGTGTAATCCATGTACTCATCTGTTTCAGTGTCCATCATGCTCGGGGGTCCCTGAAAGGAAGCTGGGGTTCCTGATGAGGCTGGGCTGGGTGCCATGCTGCCAACCTGGGGGAGATTTTCATTTCTTGGAGTGTGGCCAATAACCTGCAGCAAGAAAACAGGACGGGGACTTTCACACCAAAAGCACGATGCCAAGACCAAAACCATCTGTCTGCATGTTTATTTCCCTCTGCCACTGCTCATGAGGGATAACTGGAACATGCTCGTGAGTGGAACCCATGGCACTGTGGCTAGGAGCATGAATCTTCCTTCACTGGGAGCTCAGAGCATTAAACTTGGCACATGTATTCTGGTATGTGAATTGTGATGCGCTCAGAGGCTGGGAGTGTTAATCTTGGCACCAATATCCTGGTGTGTGGATTCTGATGCATTCAAAAGCAGGAGGTGTTAATCTTGGCATTGCTACCTTACTGTGTAGGTCCTGCTGCATTTAGAGACTGGGAATACGACTACCGACATGCCTGCCCTAGTGCCTGCATGCTGAGACACGGCGACAGGGGATCGCAGACTGAAACCAGTGACCTGTGTGTCTGCTGCTGTACTCTGCTCACGTGCAGCTGCCGTGGCCTGGCATGGCGTGGTCTCCTCTGGACAGTTACACCTGGGTAGGTACCCAGAAGCAATGTATAGCCAGACACACCATTAAATGCCTACCGAGCACTCACAAATGGGAAAAAAATGGAGTTAGGATGGTTAAATGCAGACAGGCAAGTGGCAGTGCAGCAATCTGTGAGCTTTGCTACATGCCCCGATTTGTGGTTTCTTCCTCTTTTTGCTATTTGCTGGACTGCTCCATGGGCTAAGCACAGCCGTAGATTAAGATGTGCACTGTATGCTCTTGGGGTTGCTTTGGCCACAATTACTGCTTTTCCACTGCTAACGTGACATGGGATTGCCAGTGAGGGAGGTGGAAGTCAAAACTGGCATTTTCCGCTCTGTGTGTACTAGGAGGTGTAGGGCTCTGTAGTGGAGGAAGATTTGTTTGTTAAATCTGAGTTTGATTCTTGTACCTGAGCACTTAATTTTAAGAACAAAAGCTGCTGTAACAGTAACACCAGTTCCTTGGCATGTGTGAACTCATTAATTCCAACGGCAGGAGACTGGAATGATTAACTTTTTGACAGTACTTGACAGCTAACAGGGACCTCTCAGTCCCATGTTGTGGAATGGAGGAGGGTTCCCATCTTGCTTCTACAGGTAGCACCTTTTGCTTTTCACATACCAGATGTCCTTAGGGTTAGATTTAGTCACAGGTGTTCAAATAAATGCAGCTCATTTCGTCTCCTAAGTCAGTGCAAGTTAATGCAACCAAGGAGTAAGAAGAACAAACAGGAGGCTGCAGGACTGCTGCCATTCTGAACAGTAGGGCAGTGCTGCAGTTGAACCTCTTCAATTTATTCATGAAACAGAAAAACCTAATCTGGCAGTTGCTCTTGGTTGTGTTAGACAAAAGTGACTGCACTGCCCTGGTACTTCCTGAGAGAGGACAAGGAGAGCCCCAGTGGAAGGCCAGATCAGTAAAGGAAGAGAAATCTTGAAACTGGTGTTTCTAGATGGAAGCAGCAAATAATTGTTTATGTGCAACAGGAAATGTTTGCTTTAACCAGCATGTTCAATTCTTCCACATCCTAAGCACTTTAATTTTAATAAGCCAATTGGTGTATACTGAGAGCGTGGGGAGGGAGTGCATGCAAGTTATAAATATGAATATTTTAGTGTTATCCTTCTCAAATGTTTTTCTCCACAACTCACGAGGAAAGGCTGTTTAGACTAAGTAATGCTTTGATGTTGTCTCTCCTCATATGACAGGCGTCAAACCAGCTAAAACTAGCTTAGGTGAACGCACACATCCCAGGTGCATCCCCCAGTGCAGACGTGTCCTTAGGAGCTTGGTATGAGCATCTTGGCATCAATGCAGTTCTGCAGCCAGCAGCTGAAGGGACTATCACTACATACAGAGCTACAACATAAATAACCAGCCAGTCACCTGAGTAGGAACACGATCAAAATTCTTCCCCAGCATCCGTCTCATGTGCTTTCTGGCATGGGATGTCATTTGGTGCTTGAGCAGGAAGGAGAACTGGCAGCCCTCTCGAATACAGTGGAAGTGGCTGTTCACCTGGTTGTATTTGCAACCTGCAGACACAAAGCCAAGGTATGTAGTACAGGAAAGGTACCGAGAGAGAGCAAGACTGTAGGGAAGATGGTCTGGAGACAGGACAAGGCTGCTGCTCTATGGATTTTTGGTAGACTGGAGATTATGGTCATGGGTTCTTCAGGAACAGTCCTGAATGACAGAAACCACACTTTTTTGCTTGCTGAGCAACTGCAGGAGAGGATTATAGGGTACAGAGATTTAAAAAGTGGGCCAGAACTGCATACTGGCCCCATCCCTCCTTATGTAAAGACAAAGAAAGTTGCCATTATGTCTAGCAGTGCCTATTGCTCCCCAGTCTGAGCTAGTGCCTTTTGCTTTTCAGTGGGAACAAAACCAAGACTTTTAACCGTATCACAGGATTTACAATTGAAAATATATGCTTACAATTAGATTTGAAATGAAAAGTTCTTTTTTTTCCCTTTAACTGTGCTCTCAGAACAGAAGAGCAGTCTCTTAAAAGCCCCAGCTCTGGACAGTGTATGCTCTCTGGTCAGATGGACAGAGCCAGAAAGTGTTTATTGCCACTCCACGTTTGTAGTGCAGGAGGGGCAGCTACTAAACAACAATTTCTACAATTTCTATACTTTCTGGTATACTTTTTATACTTTTCTATACAGCACTTCACACATTCTGCTCCTGGCACACACTGCCATGCATGCTGGGAGTTTGCTGTACCTTGTTAAGGTGCTGCATTCAATAGCTGATAAATAATGGCTTGTTGCAGCTAAAGCAATATCAGCAGTCAGGTTCTGTCTGTTCTCCGTCAGCCCCTGTACATCATCTTATAGACGTTCAGGTACAGGGCTACAGACAGCCCCAGTTTTATTCATCTCTCTACACCCATCTGCCTTTACTTACATACATACATATTTGTCTCTCTCCCTCCCTCTCCACCTATGCTTACAGGCACAAAAACGTATCTATAAAAGTCTATCTGTTGATGCAGTGTGTGTTAATAAACTTACACAGCCCCTAAAGCAGGCTGGTGCTTCTGCACCTGCTATATGCATATTTAACCTAAAAGAGAGAGCTGCACAGAGAAGCAAACGTGCATTTACACGTTGGTATAACCATCGACACCCACACAAACACATCCAGCTACCCCATCCTGTCGTGCTGCCTGTCTCTACATAGGCAAATGCAGAGTGTTGGTTAAAACGTACGTTTAATGCATGGCAAGCCCAAGCTATAGGCGTATGTACATCCCTCTAGATGCAAGTACCCCTTCACTCCCAAAATAAACACTGCTGACACATGCACAGCCTGCAGACAGCTCGCTGCCAAACAGCTCCTGAATCACCCAGCCCATCTTTAGCTCACAGATAGCGTTTTATGTGCAAGCCAAGTTGCTGTTTGTTTAGGTATTCCACTCCCCCACAGCCCCACCTCGTTTGCCCTCCCCATCACGTCGCTGTTCTTCGGGATGAAGAACAAACAGTGCTGGCGGGATTGAAATGGTATCAGCAAAGGGCAGGTGAAGACTCGCCCGTTGCCAGGGCAGCCGTGTAGGCTGGGTGTCATATATCATTGTCCTGCTTTGTCTAGCCCCTGCTATCACCTGAAACACCTAAAGTTGAGTAAATAACAGCAACTGCTGAATCTACTGACATGTGTAAATGAGCCCTAGGTGAGTACTGGCACTGGAGTGTTGACACTTATTACCCTGGTTACCACAAACAAGTTGCCATTTGAGTATACATTTTTTTTATGCATGCAAAGCTGAAAAGTTTGGCCCTGGTTATGGTGGTTGCAATGCCCAAGAAAGAACAGCATCGGGCAGGAGGTATGGTATGGCCAGGAAGGACGGAAGTGTTATTCTGAACTCTCTTTTGTTTCAACCTTAAGCCAGGACCGATAGGGAAGGCTGGGTCTGTGACAACAGCAAGGCACAAGGCAACTACGTGACTCCCAGTTAGTGAATGCCAGCCCGTCAGGATGGATCTCAGATGGAGCTCTCCCTAGGGACTCGCCCTGGTGCACAGCAATGGGCTTCAGCTCGAGGATACCTCCCTGGGAACCCATTCTGCTCTCTGCTGTTGCTCATTTGTTTTACCAAATCTTAGAGGCCCTAAGATTTAATAACTGCTGCAGTGCTGCTAATGGTTTTGGCAAGTGGGCATGCCACGGTCTGAGGCTGTGCACACTGCAGGTGTTTCCTTCGGCCGTGGCTGGGCTCGAGGCACAGCACCGGCTCCCTGCTGCTCACAAGTGGCTGTGGAGAACGGGGTCAGAAGAGGAAGGAGCAGGTTACTGAATGCCCTTCTCCATACCTCTGTCTCATGCTATTTACCCTTTGGCTTTCAGTATGCAGCCCTGGCAACAGCTACAAAAAAAAAAACAACAAAAAAGTCATCCGAAGCTGCCTGGAGTCAGGTGAAGCAGCAACTGGAGGTCAGTGCAGAAGGACCTTTGAACAAGAGCTTCATCAGAACAGACATTTCCCATATGCTTTTTTTTTATTTTTTTGCTCCTAAGAGCACCCTTCAACTCTGCCCAAGACAGGCATTAGGCCCAAAGACGGTAAAGTGCCAAAAAATGGAAAAAAAAAAAAAGAAAAATAAGATTGCCTTAACAGATCATGACCACCAGGGAACCTGTATCTCCAGATAAGTATATATATAGGTGTATGCATATATATATATATAATCCTCTATACTACAGCTTCTAGTCATTTAAGATTTTTGGTCTATTTGAGAAAAAAGGAACCCTCATGCTTCAACTCAGGCAGATCAGGAGCAGATTTCTGTTTGATTCTGTTTCTTGTTTGTTTAGTGATTTAATAACCAAATACATCTCTAGCATAGCTCACATGCTCTAACTCGTGGTATTCTTAGCCTGGATGTAGAAAAGACTACATGGGAAGGGTGAGGGGGCGTGGGGGGAGAGGAGAAGACTCACCCAGTCTGCCACACTCTTCTCGCTTGGTAAAATACTTGAAGCCATTGGCTGCCCTTCTTTCTGCCTTCTCATGTTTTTTCACATGCCAGGGCAGCTTGGTGGTGATGTTAGTCACAAAGTAGCAGCCAGGACGAAGACAGTGGTAATGCCCTCGCATCCTGAATTCACAGTGCTAGAGGGGAGCAAAAAGGCGGGTTGCTTTAAGCAGATCTAGAACAAATGCACTCTCGTTTGCCTGCTACTAATGCTGTCCCTGCAAGAGAGGCCCGAACTGATACTCTGCATCATATCTACTTCATCTTCCATAAGCCACAATGCAAACTTGTTCCCTGTCATGTATTCTGCATGGCACCATTCTACACATGAATGACCCCAACACACAGCTAAGATTCCATCACTTCCCCCTAACTGGTGGCTTTTCAAAGTAGTCATCACCAATTTTTATTCTACTTCATCTTGAGTCTCTTAGATCATTCAAGTTTCCTCATCTCATCATTTCAATTCAACACAAAAGCAGCGGGATTCTCTGTTTGATGGAAACCTAAACATTTTGCTAGACCAATTGAGGCCCTTCCATGGATCTGTCATTAGACCAGGAATGAACCTCTTGGCCTCACTTCCTATTGTGTTGTCTACTTGTTCTTGCCCATGCTTTTCCCGTGCATGTCCTCAGGCCAGGACACTGCTTTTGAATTCCTCTTACCTGGTTTGGACAGAGACACTGCAGCGAATAGTAAGCAAACTGGTCTCGCACATTCACCAAATTATTGTTGGGGTTGATGTGGTCCAGGCAGTGGGATTCTGCTTTGCCAGAGGTTTTGCACACATACTTGCAGTTCCCAAAGAGACAGTGGAAGTGGAATTTGTTGGCATACTTGCAGTCCGTTGCCAGGCAGGGATCACTGGAATACATCCAAAACCCAATCATCACCTTCACTCATTTCACACATTTGTTTCTTTGCCAACATTTAATTCAAGGGGAGCCCAGCTGAAGCCTCTGT